AAATAGCCCGGAGCCCTATATATATTTATCAAATTTTTTTTTACTATGAGGGAGAGGGGGGACGCTGGGGAGGGGGGGGGGGTAATGTAAAACACAGAATCCAGTTGGTCTCGCCTAAAGTGTTCAATTTTGATTTATTAAAATTAGGGCTCTGCAAATGCCCATGCCAGGCAAATTAACACCATGCCAGGCACTAGTGCCTCATGCTCATACAATAGGCACAAAAGTGCCAGGAATTATTATTGGCATAAGCACAAATGCCAGGCAGTTTTATAGGCATGGGTACAAATTCCAGGTACTTCATAGGCACAGCACAATATGCCAGACAAAAAGGTGCCAAAAAGGTGCCAGGCACAAGTGCCGAATAGTACTAGACACACAATTAATAAATACTAAATTTTTGTGCCCATACCATGGGCACATGCACGGGTTGCTAAAATTGGATAAAACATCAAATTATATATCAATGAGTGGAAACCTCACTTATATCGCACCACCTGCTATACGTATCTAATTGAGACTAGATGGCGAAACTTGTGAATAAACTTACTCGGCAGCAATCTCGACAGTGCGGCTTCACCGCACGAATATCAAACTCTAGTTTTAATTATTGCATAGCCAAGTAATTGATGACTATACTAAAATTTCCATATTTGTATAGTTTACGTTATCATTGTCTTTACATCTTTTTGTTTTTATGGCATAAATTTTAACGATAGCCTCATCCTAAAAAATAAAAACAAAGATGAAAGGAAAAGGTTAACTTTAAAATGTAAACTATACAAATGAAAAAAAAATAGTATAGTCGGAAATTACTGCTATACAATAAATTATTAAATCCGGAGATCAGAGACTTTCTGTGACACTGTGTGACCTAAATTTTTAGTACAAAACCACTCACTATTTGGGATTTTTGCTACGTATTAAAATGACCCTCCGAAGCATTGCTACACAAGATTTTTATTAAGAAAAACATAGTAAATCTATTTTTAGAAAAAAATAATCTAAATTTGCGTACATCGGTCTGTAACATCGCGTACATATTTGTCTAAAAAAAATTGGTGTACGTGAAATTACACGAAACCGATGTGCTCCCTTTCATAAAGTGTGCACAACGTACTGTACCTTGAGAAGTTTGTATAATTATAATTCCTATTTTGACTATTTTAACTTCGGTATAGTTTTTAGAAACCTTTTTAACATGAACAATTATTTTAACTTTGAGGTTATTATGATTATTTTACCAGATTTAGTTTACAAAAAACCTGGTCAGCGATGTATAATAACAAATCATAATTGAAAGAGTGTGTGATTAGTTTTCTGAAATTTAGATAAGGCCATACAAATTTAATAAATTGTTTCTCATAAGTTGACCTGGTCAAATTTTGCAAAACTTCAAAAAAATTTTTTGAAATCCGCAAAAAAATTAGATTTATTTTTTATTCATGAATTTTTTTTGGAATAAAATTATAAGCCGAGTTGCCGGGTCGTTTTTAAAAAACTTCATGTTATGAAAACCAAAAAATTATCTTTTTATGGCCTAACACAATTTTTAGTAAATTAAACTAGATGTTATATCTTTAGAGTTTATAGTAATATCATATTATTAATAATCTAATTAAAAAAGTGATGTGTTTCATCGAAACCTGCAAACTAGTTATACATTTGCTTTCAATTAATTTTATATGTCGCTAATTAAGCCAGAAATTTTAGCATCACATCAATCTAAATAACGAATTTCTTATCTTTTATACAAATAGGATGCCACTGAATCAGAATTCCAACCTCATGATCTTATTAAAAAACTTAAAAAGTGGACAAGTACTCATGATATTTATTCTTTGAAAAAGATCATTGAAGATAATAAATATCACACAAAATGTTAGTTGAGTCTATTGAGTTGTTAGCTGATTCATCCGCGTTTAAATATTATAGCATTGAAGCTATTTCTGAACTAGAATTACACATTCGCACCTTAGTTGCTCTCATAGAAGTAATTTGCAAAAGTGAAATTCGAATTCGACATGATTTGAGAGAAAAAATTTATGCTCAGTTAGGAAAATTTGCTGAGATACACTTTCGATCAACTGAAGTTAATGAAGAAGGTTTTAATAAAGTTTTTAAATCAAAATTTGAAGATTTTAATCCACATTCAAATGACAGTAAAATTCATAAGGATGGAAAGCGTAATTACAATATTGATTTTTTGTTATTGTACTTGCGAGATACTCTTCATTGTATGAGAGATGATGAGAATAAATTTTTAGAAATATGGAATAGAATAAAATCAATCCTTCGTATAATTTTAGGTATTGCCCCGGACTTGTAAAAACAGGAATTTCACATGGTGCAGATTTACCTATAGACAATGGTGTAGAATTACTGTTTAAATGTTTACAAGAAGCCTTTAATTGGAAGTATCCAATCTCTTCGTGGTATTATGGATGGAGAACACTACTTGAACTACACTTTAATATTCAAAATTTTCTTCAAGAATGTTCACTTTCTTTAAAATATGGTGAAAGTTTGTTACTTGAATGCTTATGGCATTGTGTATCAAAAAGTTGGTCAAATCCAATATCTCAATCAGAGAATTTTATAAAACAGAAGCATTTTATTAACAATCTTTTAGGTAATGAACCACTTGCATTTCCACATTCCTTATGGTTTGGAGCTCTTGATATTACACAAGATTTAATTGCAAAAACTCAAAGAGATTCAACCTTAGGTATTTGTTATTATTTAGCATTAGAATCTTTACAAAAATCACCATCATCTTTTATTCGTTTCAAGGCCACAGAAGTTTTAATTAAATTATCAAAAAGAAATACACTACTTTACAACATTATTAAAAATGATTTTAAAGATTATAAATATTCTTTAGATTCAATAGAAGGGTTAAAGTCACATCATATGATTGAAGCAATTCATGTAAAAGTTTCACAAGATGAAAAATTAGTAGACACTAACAAAAATAATATAAGTAGCTTAATGGGTAAAGGAAAGGCTATCACAACATATAACTTAACTTCAAGTGATAATTTGATTTCAGAAATTGTCACTACAGAGTTTTCTTGTCCAGTAACTTATCAAATTCCAAAAAGCTTTCAAATTTTACCCTGTGAACATTTAATTAGTCCTGAGGCATTGCGAAAAATTATTAATAAAACATCACAACCAACTTGTCCATTGTGCCGGAAAATAATAGACTTAAATTCTGTGCCACAGTCAGCAATTTATCAAGGAATCCGTAATCATTAGCCTGAAGATGATAATAATAATGTTGCTCAAGATCACAATAAAAATACTTCTGATAAAAGTAGTGATGAAGAAGAAATTAATATCTCTAAACTCAAATCTCGACAAAAATTTATGATATCTGATTCAACAGTAAGAAAATTTTTTAAGACACCCAAAATTTTTCACCCGTCTTTAAGAAAAGCAAACACAGCATATAAATTAGGAGAGCTTGTAATGGCTATTAATGCGCTTACAGAAATTCTTGAAGAATATCCCACAAGCTATTCATTAAAATGTTATCGGGCCAAAGTATATATAGAATGTAATAAATTTCATGAAGCACTTAATGATTTAGATTCAGCTATAAAACTGAAATCAAATAGGCTTGATGCTTATTCACTACGTGGAATAGCATATTTTAAAATTAATAAATTTGATGAATCATTTAAAGACTTAACAAAATCGTTAGCAATTGAACCAAATAATGCATCTGCATTGCGTTATCATGGAATAATTAATTCTATGTGGAAGGAATATAATAAATCACTTTTGGATTTAACAAAATCATTAAAGATTGAGCCAAATAATGCATCCGCATTAAGATATCGTGGTATGTCTTATTTTATGATGAAGGAACATGAAAAATCACTTTTGGATCTAACAAAATCATTAGAAATTGAGCCAAATAATGCACTTGCATTACGTTATCGTGGTATGACTTATTACATGATTGAGGAATATAATGAATCACTTTTAGATTTAATAGAATCATTAGAGATTGAGCCAAATAATGCAGTTGCATTACGTTATCGTGGTATGAGTTATTATATGACAAAGAAATATGACAAATCACTTTTATATTTAATAATATCATTAGAGATCGAGCCAAACAATGCATTAGCATTATGTTATCGTGGTATGACTCATTGTATGATGAAGAACTATAATAATTCACTTTCGGATTTAACAAAATCATTAAATATTGAGCCAAATAATGCATTGACATTAGGTCATCGTGGCATGACTTATTACATGATGGAAGAATATGATAAATCACTTTTGGATTTAACAAATTCATTAGAAATTGAACCAAATAATGCATTAGCATTAAGTTATCGCGACATGATTTATTATATAAGGAAAGAATATGATAAATCGCTTTTGGATTCAACAAAATCATTAGAGATCGATCAAAATAATGCATTAGCATTTAGTTATCGCGGCATGATTTATTATATAAGGAAGGAATATTATAAATCACTTTCGGATTTAACAAAATCATTAGAGATCGATCCAAATAATGCATCCATGTTGAATTACCGTGGTATGACTTATTATATGATGCAGGAATATGATAAATCACTTTTGGATTTAACAAAATCATTAGAGATTGAGCCAAATAATGCATCTGCATTAAAATATCGTGGTATGATTTATTATATAATGAAAGAATATGATAAATTTAACAAAATCATTGGATATCAAGCCAAATAATGCATCAGCATTAAGTTTTCGTGGTATTATTTATTATAAAAAGAAAGTTATGATAAATCACTTTTGGATTTAACAAAATCTTTAGAGATTGAGCCAAATAATGCATTGACTACTGTTGTTAAGCAAAACTATTTTTTGGCAAATGGCAAAAGTCGAAACTAAATCTAGCAAAAGTCAAAACTAGCAAAACTCTGACGAAATTGTGAAACTCTGGCAAAATAGCAAAACTCTAGCAAAATGGCAAAACTCTAAAAAAATCTCAGATAAAGCTAAAACCTCTAAGAAAGTCAAACACAGTAAAGATCAAATCCTCTAAGCTTTAAAAGACTAGCCATGTTGGTAAATTAAAATATTTGGTGTATGGCTATTAAGCACAGCATATAGATTATAATATACAGAGCAATAAATAAAGTGATAGCTTTTTGTTTGCATTTAAATACTATTAAAAACCTAGATTTCAGGCTTTTAAACTTATAATAAATAAATTCAGCCTTAAAAATTCAAAATATGAAATCCTGTTTTCTTTTAATAGCACTATATTTATATTATATTAATATTATTTATGTAAATAAATTTATCTAAATATATTAATAAATTTTTTTTTGAATATTTTATTGTTAAAATTTTATTAAATATTATATATATAAGTAATTTGCTAATATTATTATTAACAATAATTTTTTAATATATTATTTTATCTGGCTTTAAATCTCAAAACTAATTTTAAAGAACCAATTGTTATATTATTGACTTATAATGAATCAAATATAGTTAAATTTAGATTATTGATTAGAAACATCATATATAACAGAATGATTATGCACATGTATATAAAAAATAAATTTGTATTAAGTTAAAACTAAATATAGTCAGACCTATCTAAGTGCATACTCTTGTGACAACACTTAACAATATGCATTTAGAGAACAATAAGAAAAATATATTTATCGAAATCAAGTATATATTTGGGCACACTATTTCCTAAAGTGTGTTCAACGTGCCTTGAGAAACTCATATATTTATAACTCATATTTTAATTTAGCATAGATTTTTTAAGAACCTTTTTAATAAGATGAAAAATTATCTTAATTTTGAGGCTATTATGAGTATGTTACAAGATTAGTTTACAAAAAAACCTGGTCAGCAACGTATAACAAATTCATAATTAAAAAATATGTGTGATTAGTTTTCTGGTTATTTAGATACGACCATAAAAATTCAATAAATGTTTCTCATAAGCTGGCCGTGTTAAAAATTATATGTATTTTTTGTACACAAATTTTTTTGGAAATAAAATTAAAAGTCGGTGAGAAGCAAAAAATTATCTTTTTATGGCTAATACACAATTTTTAGTAAAATGTATTCGGTAAACTAGATGCAATTTGTTGGAGTTTATATCAATATCATATTAATAATAGTCTTATCTAGAGATGTTTTTAAATCTTCTAGAACAAATCATAAAAGCATTCCTATCTCAAAATTTTGACTATGAATCTGTCTTTCGCACTCTAACAAAAATTGTTCCTTGCAAAATGTTACATATAACTGATTTGTAAATGCTACGTGTATTATGTATATTACGTATGTTATAACTATGCGTACTGTACACTATGCGAAAAAAATTATCAAAAAAGTAATGAGTTTCATCGAAACCTACAAATTAGTCATATACTTGCTTTCAATTACTTTTATATGTCGCCAATTAAGCTAGAAATTTTAGTAACACATCGATCTATATGATGAATATCTTATCTTTTATATAAATAGGATGTCTCTGAATCCGAATTCCATCCTCGTGATCTTATTAAACAATTTAAGAAATCATGATATTTATTCTTGAAAAAAATCATTAAAGATAACAAAATATCAAATGAAATGTTAATTGAGTCTATTGAGTTTTTAGCTGATTAATCCACATTTAAATATTATAGCATTGAAGCTATCTCTAAGCTAGAATCGCATCTTCGCACCTTAGTTTCTCTTATAAAAGTAATTTGCAAAAGTGAAATTCGGATTAGACATAATTTGAGAGAAAAAATTTATGCTCAGTTATGAAATTTGCTGAGATACATTCCCGATCAACTGAAGTTAATAAAGAAGGTTTTAATAAAGTTTTTAAATCAAAATTTGAGGAGTTTAATTCACATTCAAATGATAGTAAAATTCATAAAGATGGAAAATGCAATTACAATATTGATTTCTTGTTATTACACTTGTGAGATACTCTTAATTGCATGAGAGATGATGAGAATAAATTCATGAAAATATAGAAATAGAAGGAAAGCACTCATTCGTATAATATTAGGTATTGCTCCAGGACTTGTAAAAATGGGAATTTCACATGCATTGTGTGTCAAAAGTTGGTTAAATCCAATAGCTCAATAAGAATATCTTATAAATCAGAAGCATTTTATTAATAATCTTTTAGGTAATGAGCCTCTTGCATTTCCACATTCTTTATGGTTTGGAGCTCTTGATATTACACAAGACTTAATTGCAAAAACTCAAAGAGATTCAACATTAGGTATTTGTTATTATTTAGCATTAGAATCTTTGCAAAAAGCACCTTTATCTTTTATCCGTTTTAAAGCTATAGAAGTTTAACTAAATTATCAAAAAGAAATACACTATTTTATAATATTATTAAAAATGATTTTAGAGATTATAAATAATCTTTAAATTCAGTAGAGGGATCAAAACTAGATTATATGATAGAAGCAATTCATATAAAAGTTTCACAAGATAAAAAATTAGTAAATACTAATAAAACCAATATAGATAATTAGAAGGAGAAAGAAAAGGCTATTACAACATTTCCTCATACTATAACTCCAAGTGATGATTCAATTTCAGATATTGTTTCTACAGAATTATCTTGTCCAGTAACCTATCAAATCCCCAACAATTTTCAAATTTTACCTTGTGAACATTTAATTAGTCCTGAGGCATTGCAACAAATTATTAATAAAACATCACAACCAACCTGTCCATTGTGTCGAAAAATAATTGATTTAAATTCTGTAATCAATTTGCCACAGTCAACAATTTGTCAAGGAATTCGTAATCATTTGCCTGAAGATAATAATAATAATGTTGCTCAAGACCACAATAAAAATACTTCTGATGAAAGTAGTGACGAAGAAGAAATAAATATCTCTAAACTCAAATCTCAACAAAAATTTAAGATATCTGATTCAACGGTAAGAAAATTTTTTAAGACACCCAAATTTTTTCACCCATCTTTAAGAAAAGCAAACACAACATATAAATTAGGAGAGCTTGAAACAACTATTAATGCACTTACAGAAATTCTTGAAGAATATCCCACAAGCTATTCATTAAAATGTTATCGAGCCAAAGTATATATAGAATGTAATAAATTTCATGAAGCACTAAATGACTTAAATGCTTATTCATTACGTGGGATAACATACTTTAAAATTAATAAATATGATGAATCATTTAATGATCTAACAAAATCATTAACAATAGAACCAAATAATGCATCTGCATTGCGTTATCATGGAATAATTAATTATATGAGAAAGGAATATAATAAATCACTTTTGGATTTATCAAAATCATTAGAGATTGAGCCAAGCAATGCATTGACATTAAGTCATCGTGGCATTACTTGTTGCATGATGTGGGAATATGATAAATCACTTCTGGATTTAACAAGATCGAGCCAAATAATGTATCAGCACTAAGTTATCGTGGCATGACTTATTTTATGATGAAGGAATATGATAAATCACTTTTGGATTTAACAAAATCGTTAGAGATTGAGCCAAATAACATAGTAGCATTGAGCTATCGTGGCATGGCTTACTATATAATGAATAAATATGACAAATCACTTTTGGATTTAACAAAATTATTGGAGAATGAGTCAGATAACGCATCTGCATTAAGTGATCGTGGCATGACTTATTATACGATGAAGGAATATACCAAATCACTTTTGGATTTAACAAAATTATTAGAGATTGAGCCAAATAACGCATCTTCATTAAGTTATCGTGGCATGATTTATTATATGATGGAGGAATATGGTAAATCATTTTTGGATTTATAAAAATCATTAGCAATAGAACCAAATAATACATTCACATTAAGTTAGTTATCAATTATATGATGGAAGAATATCGTAAATCACTTTTGGATTTAACAAAATCACTAAAGATTTTGAGCCAAATAATATATTTGCATTAAGTTATCGTAGCAAGATTCTTGATATAACGAAGCGTTGGGTTTTGTGTGGAAATTTAAACTACTAGCAAATGACCCGTGCCTTCTGCATGGTAATAATTGATGTCGATGTGTTGTAATATTAAATCCAATTAATCAAATTGCAAAAGGATTGATAAAACAAAAATAGATGTTATTAAAGTATTTGTACAGAAGAACACTCATTATTAAAATAATGAACCTACGATTAAATTTTCCCGCTCACTATTGAAATAATGAACCCTTTCATGCGTAATTGAAATAAACCTGCCCATCGTTGAAATTACTACCTACATTAGTAAATTGTAGGTCAGCCATAATCTTAACTACTGTTGAGATTACAATCTCGCCCAATTAGAATCATAATTTACCCACTGTTAAAGTTATAAATTAATACTATCTAAATTGCAAAAGCATCTTTCCTAAATCGTGAATCTATTTATTGATAAAATAATGAATCCTATTACTATTGTAAATACACATATTCACAATTAAAATTGCTGCCTTTTCACTATTAAAATTATGAACTCATTTAATGTGAAATTACGAATTTACTTGCTTTAAATTCTGAGTCACCCTCCATTGAAATCACAAACTATTTACCATTGGGATCATGAACCCGTTATTAAAATTGCGAACCCACCTACTAATAAATTATGTATTTATCGACCGTTAGACCGTGAACTTATTATTAAAAATAATGAGCCCACACATTATTAGCATGGCGGACCAGCTCAAATTTCGGGGTCGTTTAAAGGGGACGTTTAAAGCCTGGCACTTACTAAATTACCCGATATGTATCCCGTATTATTCCGGACAAACTGACAAAGACAAAAAGGCGAGAATATAAAAATGGCTATCTAAAGTGGTCTTGGTGCACGAAGTACGTAAAAGTGTAAAGCAAAAATTTTGTAGATCACGGTCGTTAGCCAATCAAAATCGAGAATCTGCCGTGACAAAATTGGTGCGGCGGCTAGGTCTTTTTAATTACAATATTGATTTTTGTCGTTACACTTACGAGATACTCTACATTGTATGAGAGATGATATAAATAAAATTTTGAAAATATGGCGTATACCAGGAACGGAGTGAAACGAAGTGTATGGCTTAGTGAAGGGTGAAATGGTGTACGGGTGCAAAATCTTACATA